ATGGGACCTTATGAAAAAGCTTCAGCACAGCAATGGAAATTGTTAGTCAAGCAAAGAGACAGTCATTGGAATGGGAGAAACCCTTTGTCGCCTATGCATTTGGCAAGGGATGAGTATCTAGAATATACACAGGGCTCAAAGAACTAATCATCAACAGCAAAAAAAAAAAAAAAAACTCAATCAAAACAGTGACCTAAGCAAATATCAAGTGGTCAGCTCTGAAATCATAGACAAACGAGTAACATTATAGTGACTGAGCACTTGTCTGTATGGGTTTAGGAGCATGCATGTGTGTGGAAAACAACAAGGAAAAAGAGGCCATGAATTTGAGAAAGAGAGACCAAGGGGATACATGGAGGGTGAAAAGGGAAGAATGATATAATTACGTTTGGATTTCAAAAAAAATAAATAACAGTAACATAAAGAAATACACATGGCCAATATTTTTTAACTGGTCAGCATGCTTATCCTTCAAGAAAATGTAAATTAAAACTACTTTTAGGTCCCACGTCACTCTAGTCAGTAGAGCACTTATCAAGAAAACAACAACAAATGTTGGAAACAATGGGGACAAAAGGGAATCTGTGTACACTGTTTTGAGGATGCAAACTAGTCCGGTAACTATGGAATTCAGTATCAATGTTTTTAAAACCTTAATGTAGATTTCTTATATTTATTATATGACCTAGCCATACCATTCCCGGGTATTTACCCAAAGGACTCTGAGTCAACGTATCAGAGAGACACTCGCACACCAATGTTTTTTTTTTTTTTTCAGCACCATTAACAATAGTTAAGTTGCGGGGCCAACCCAGGTGCCCCATAAGAGAGGAAATATGAAATAAAATGTGCTATGCGTACAGAGTGGAAAGATTTTTTTCATCCATAAAGAAGATAAGTAGTGCCATTTGCAGGAAAATGGATGCAACTATAGATAGTCATGTTAAGTGAATTAAGTCAGCCTCAGAAAGACAAAATATATGTTTCTGTCATATATTGTTGCTAAAATTCCTGCCCAAAGGGTGGTGTAAGCAAGGTTTATTCCTTCTCCTATGGTCTTGAGCACAAACTGAGGTGTAATCCACCAATGTTCTCTGTGGAGAACCAATGAGTTTATCGGGCTTCCTTACAGAGCATGGTAAAAGGGTTAGTTAAAAGGGTGTGGGCATGTCTCCTCTGTGCGGCCCCACCTTTAAAACTTAACCCAGCAGATATATATATGATATATATATATCATATATATATCTCCTAGCACCTCCTCCAGGCCATGTACAGAGTAACCAGTTGGTAAAGAGCACTTGGATACTCCAAAGGTGGTGTAAACTGTCAACAAGCCTAGGTGGGATAATCTTTTGCAAGAGGGGCATAGCTGAAAGTTCCAAGCAAACAGTTGTTAGCTCAGATGACAGAAACATCCAACACAGTCTCCGTCTTCTCCCAGCTCTTACATTCATTCCACTTCACTCTTTTCCAAGGGTCCCTGAGCCATGGAGGGAATTTGTGGCTATATTTGATGAGCAACTTTATTTCTTGTACTCCAAGAGGGACTGTGTCTCCATTCCTTTCAATTTATTTTCCCTCTCCGGGACATGGCGGTTCCAGCCACTATTGCACTAGTTGGTGCCTCTTACCTGGCTCTTCTATCATAAATCATCCAGGGTACCGAGTGTGTGACACTTGCTTTTCATCTCAGCACTCAGGAAGCAGAACCAGGGGAATCTCTGTGAGTTCAAGACTGGCATGGTCTATATAGCAAGTTCTAGGACTACATAGAGAGAGACCCTGTCTCAAAAAGAAAAAGAGGCATGAAAGATCAATGGTTAGTGGGATTTTGAGGCTTAATTCTCCCTAGCATTCTTAGTAGCAACTTGTGGAACTATGGGAGCTACCTTACAGTGAGGGGATAATTCAGGCACACTCCTAGCTCTATTTCTTAAAGTGTACAGCAGCCAAGGCATGCAACAATCCTCAGCAATAGGGTCTTACCATTCAATTCTGGACCCCAACCAACAACTGTGGCAATAGCCTTTATTGTTATTGGGGCCTCTGGAGCCAACAATTGCTAAGGAAGTAACTCACTTCCAGTGCTTGGATTTTTAATTTTTTAGAGTGGTTACTCTAGGGCTTCTGGGAGCATCTGTCCATACCTTTTAAATACACTTCAACATTTACAGGCCCAGGCTATTGAAACTCTCCCCAATCAATTTGTGGTTTGTTCTCACTTGAGTCTTACCCAACCATAACACTTTCAAAAGTCCCTGGGCAACACCTGGCCCTTGCACCGTTTGTGAGCTCTTTCCCTATGCTTGCTTCTTTAGGTACACGCTCATGTATCTTAAATGAGTCTCTAAATTTGCAAACACTCAGCATTAGAGTTATAGTATCCATATGGAACAATGACTTTATACAGAGAACGGACAGATCAATGATGCAAAGCCCTGGGCCACCATCTCATAATGAATGGTGGGGCTGCCGAGATAACCTTTATAAAGCACTTTGAGAGTCCATAGCCACAGAAGGCCACAACTAAGGAGATACTGAAGCCAAATATAGCAAGGTCTAATACAACAAGAGACACCATTAGTATTAATAGCCATTAGTATTAATGGTCTCTGCCACAGATCCATAAGGGTACAGGAACATGAGTAGGAGACAGCAAGCTCCCTTTTCACAACCATCTGAGCCATCCTGTTTCCATAATCTGGAGATCTTCCATAGAACCTCCCTGCATTTCCCCAGCCCTGATGAGCTTGGTGAGGCTGGCTTATGTGTCTCAGGCCTGCTCAGGGCTAACTGTGAGTGACATCCTGTTATCCCCCTGCTGTTCGTGCTGCTCGGCTGGTTCCCTGGGTCAGAGAGGCTCTGGACTGACACAGTGGCTGTAGTTGTTCTGGATGCTAGATCACCTGACCCATCCATTTTTATTTTTGTCTGCTCCCCTTGCTCTGAAAATACATAAACTTTTAAAGGTAACATACATACCTGTATTAGTACAAGTATAGACTGTGCATTGTACATAAGTCAGTCAAAGTTGATTTTTTGTTGTATGTGTTTGAGCAGATAAAATATACATCACACATCTTGTTATTAATTCTTTTAAGTTTATTTCTTTATGTTTGTAGTCAGATTTTTCAGGGGGTCTTCCTGAATCAAACCTGGTTTTCTTTAACCCAGAATGAATCCATAGCCTCTCATTTTCGGTGGAAATGAAAGCATAATATCTCTCCCAAAGTAACACACCTTTTGACTTAAAATGTGAGGTCAAGATATTTTAAAATGTATAGATTGGTTAATCTAGTTTTATAACCCAGTGTCTCTTAGCAGCCAAAAAATATAAAAACAACACAATAACATATAGGTTCCAGATTCTCTGTGCATTTTACATCTTTACATGGCTTATTCCTTTTATATTACTTTACTCTATTTTAAGGACTTTATTATTTTTAAATTATATACAGTCTTTTTATGACTGTCTCTATGTTTTCTTTTCTCCCCCAAGCCTATGTATATTTTTAAATACACTGTAACATATTTAGAGAGTTTTTTATATCTGAATGTCTCCTTTTGTGTATCTGTAACTTATTTTGACCACATGAGCCTTTAAACTGTTAAATGGTGTGACTAGGGCAATGAGAAAAAGAAAAAGCAAATATTACAGTTGTCGAATGTTGACAGTATATAAATGTTAGCAATGTTGAACTATATTAACACTATGTAAACCATGTTGGTGATAGGCTATATGGGTTTCTTAGAATTTTTCTTACATGTTTTCTGTAAATATGAACTTCTTTCCATGTTAAAAGTTCAATAACACTAAATTGGCAAAAAAGAAAAACTAATCACCAATTTAATTATTGATTGACAAATAATTTATGTAGGAATTAAAATAGGCCTTAATTTACATTTGACTCACTTTGAGATAAAGTCAGATTTGCAAAACTCTGTTTTTTCAGTTCCCACTTTAAATCTATAAAATGAAGATTTTATTCATAATGGAAATAAATGTAAAAAAATATCAAACCACAAAAGCTGTCAGAAATATGTGTAAGCTCATGGAGAAGAATGAAGAAGTGGAGAAGGATACTACACACTTGGAACATAAAAGCCAATATTTCAAAGATGTCCATAACATGAATTTATTATCTTTTTAAAAATAATATTTTGTAGCTGGGTAGTGACAGTGTATGCATTTAATCCCAGAACTGAGGAGGTAGAGGCATTCAAATCTGTGTGTTTTCAAGGCCATTCTGGCCTACAGAGTGAACTGTGTAGAGAAACTCTGTCTTGAAAACCCAAATAATAACAATAATAAGAAATAATAACAACATTATAATTATTATATTGTATTATTATTGTTATTATTAGTATTATTACATATGTGGGTGTTTTGTGTGCATGTATGTGTACTAGGTGTATGCAGTGCCCATGAAGGCCACAAGAGGGCTCAGATCCTCTGGGACTAGAGCTACCAACAGTTGGGAGCTGCCTTTTTGGACGCTGGGAATTGATTCAGAGTCCCCAAAAGAGCAGTCAGCTCCTCTTTTTTTTTTTTCAGTCAGTTTCTCTTAACCACTGAGCTACTTCTCCAGCTCACAAATTTGTAATTTTAATAAAATATTTTAATTTTTAAAAATTATATGAAGCTGTTTACAAATCACCAGCTGAACATTTGCAAACAATTTTGACAAAAGAGAACACTGAAATTGAGGACCGTTTAGGCAATATTGGCCTACCAAAAGTTCAGCGTTTGCCCTCCATAAGCCTTAGTTCCTTTTTAAATAAATGCATTTATTGTGTTTTCATTTAAAGTGTCTGTGGAATGCATTTATTGTGTTTTATTTTAATTTATTTATTCATTTTGGTTTTTCGATTCTCTGTATTGCTTTGGAGACTGTCCTGGAACTTCCTCTGAAGACCAGGCTGTCCTCGAACTCAACAAGATCCACCTGCCTCTGCCTCCTTCGTGTTGGGATTAAAGGCATGCGTCACCACCCAGTTTATTGTGTTTTAATTTAAAGTGTTTGTGGATATTTGTTTTATTTCCTTTCATGGAAATACATAATACAGATTTCAGGCTTTCTCTGGGAACTTGTGAGCCTAAAATACTCTCCACACTTTGCAGAAGAAGCTTGCCTGACTTAAGACCCTTCATATTGCACAACTATATTTTAGCTGATAACCATAGAATCAAGAGGATAGGGTTGGGAAAGGCGAGATAGCTCAGAGGCTAAAAACATCTGCTTGTCTTCCAGATGACCCGAGTTCTGTTCCCAGCACTGACGTCCCTGCTCATAAATGCTGTTAGCCTCAGTTCTAGGAGAATCTGATGCCTTCTTGACCTGCTTAGGTTCCAGCACTCAGGTGGCATACACTGAGCACGGACACCTTTAAAAGAGGAGAGGGTGGGGGGTAGGACTAATTTTAACTTAAAGAGAGCCCTGTTTTTCTAAAGACCCAAACAAAGAAAGAAAAGATACTTTTCTAGAAATGGGAGATTTTTATCAGTCATTGGATGATGGTCCACATCACTCTTCTCTTGTCAACAAATCAGCTTAAAGCTGGCTATGTGATGACAAAACGGTTATATAGCCTTCATAAGTCCCGCCCCCACCACCTGTGACACGAGTACTTCGCATGTAGTCCCCGGATGTTAGAACAAATGCGTAGGTTGGCCTCACGCTTCATTGGCCTGTTCTGCCCTCACGCCCCTGCTACTTCCATGCGACCACCTCAGGTACTATCATAGACGTTTGTCCTTTCACCTGCTGTCTCTTTTGAACCTCCTTCTCCTCTAAGGCTCCCACTGACTGTCTTCAGGGGCCAGCAACTTCCTAATCCCAATTTATCCTGTCGATGCCGTCGTCCATAGTCATCTAACATCGTTCTGGCCGTTACATCTGAGTAGCCATTATCGTCATTAACCCAGCTCAATCTAGGCCTTGGTGAGGTACCTAATAGTGCCATGTCTAACCCAGGAAATCAAGATCCAACCAAGGAGAGCCGAGATAACCCAGTAACCCTTCAGGGAGAGTGGGTACGGGAAGCTGCAGAGGCAGGCCTCGCATCCGACCTAGATGCGGCCTCTGCCAGTCCTGCAGTTGAAGTAATGGCTGTTCATCGTAGGGAGGTGGAAAATGTTGGGCCTGAAAGAAACCCAGAGGAAGAGGGTTACAGGAGAGAGAGCGTGGACGCTGAGCAAGACTCAGATATTGGACCTGTTGAGGAGGAGGAGGAAGGAGAGGCGGAGGCAAACGTTACCGCTGATCTACGCCTGGTAGACGCCCATCGATTCCCAATGGCTGGCTTCCGATTTATGTTTCTGGATCTGATACACGCCATTCTCAATCGTGTCTATTACAATGACCACATCCTGATTAGGCGCCCCTGTGAAAACCCAGTCATGGAAACACCTGGCCCTTCTGCATCTGGCCACTCAAGTATGCTCCAAATACTACCCGGGCCCACTCCATCAACACTGAGAGCCGCAGAGTATGAGGCCCAAGCCTCAGGCTTGACCCGAAGCCTGCCAGAGGTTATCTCCACATTTCCAGAGCTGGAGGAACCTGCAGATTACGAGGAAATAGCAGAGCGTTACCTGCCGGCACCACATCTTAACATGCAGGAGCCTGCAGTTAGGGCAGCCGTGGTGGAACCAGCAGAGCAAGCAATAGAAGAGGTGGCACCAGAGGCAATAGCAGAAGAGCCAGAAAAGGAAGTCATAGAGCAAATCATGACCTCAGAGGGTAAGGAAACAAGGCCTGGGGGCCTAGATGACGTGGTTGGTGCTGGGAAGCAGTGGGGAGGCAGGGAATAAGGACAAAGATTGGCACTGGGAGAGAGACTGCGGCCCACCATGGCTAAATTGGCTTTGCTCAGTGCTGGCCTCTAGTGGGGAAAGTAGTAGTTGGGCGGCTCTGGCCTATAAGGCCAAATGGGTCTGGTTAAAAACGTGGGTTTCAGTGATGAGACCTCGGAAATCTATGGGACCTCCTGTAGTAGTTCAGTCCTTATCCCTAACATAGGTGTGGACTTTGGGAGGCCATTCCACATAGGGGATACTCCCTGAGCCAAGACACACGGGGGTGGGCCTAGGCCCTATCCCAAAAGGTTTGTTAGACTCTGATGACACCCTATGGAAGGCCTCACCCTCCCTGGGGAGCAGAAAGGATATGTGATAGGTAGGATTTTAGTTGGTGGGGGGCAGGGGAGGACGGGGAGGGAGAGGGAACTGGGATTGACATGTAAAATAATCCTGTTTCTAATTCAAATAAAAAAAGGAAAGGGGGGAAAAAGAAACTTGTTCATGCCAGGCAGTGGTGAAAGCCTTTAATCACAACACTCAGGAGGCAGACACAGGGGAATCTCTGTGTTCGAGGCCAGTCTGGTCTATAGAGCTAGTTCCAGGACAGCTACATCTGTTACACAGAGAAACCCTGTCTCGAATAATCAGAAGAAATAGAAAAAAAACTAGTTCATTTGTTATTGTTTCTGTTTTCGTTCATTCACTTTGAGACAGGGTCTCATTATGTAGCCTGGACTGGCCTGGGATGCACTATGTAGCACAGGTTGACTTTAATTGCAATCCCTGGCCACTGAGTGCTGGGATTACACGCCTATAACAACGAGCCAGCTCGAAGGCAATCTTTAGAGGTTTTTGATTTGAGACTGTCTCAAATTGGTCTCAGATTGGTCTTGAGCTCACTATGTAGCCGAGGTATCCAAAAGAGAGCTTGGGCGCTTATAGAAGGACGTCTGACAACAAAAGAGCCAGCAAACAATGGTCCTCATTTTGTTCGTGTCTTTTAAGAGTGTAAAGGTTCTCAAAAGTTTGATTCTCTGAATTGATGAACTAGTTTGGGTGCACTTGCAGGGAAAAGATGTGTTAGTATTCACGGCTTGAGAAAACAAATTCACCACAGAATTTGTACTTGAGACAAACAAGTATCGTGGTGTAATGGATGCAAGGCGACCAATGCCTCTGATGTCTTTTTCAAAGGGAAAGAAATGAACATCATTGCTTGGGATATTTGCTGGGAAGGGGGAAGAAATGTCACTGAGCAAATGATCAGGTGGCAGAAGTGTGAAAATTAGGGAAGGGTAGCATGAACAGAAGGCAGGTAGCCAACTATGGTTTTTTTGTGATTACTCGTGTTCCCCTGTTTCTCCTGAGAGCACATGTGGATGATACTATTGGTTGGGAGTTAGACCATTTTTTCTTCTGTCTGGCTTTTAATGATCTTTACTAACTAAATAGGCGAATACTATTATAATACCTGGAATGAAGAGGACAACATCGTCAATGATGAGGAAGAAAAAGAAGGAGAAGGAAATAAAGACCAAGAAGCACTTGATGAAGTGGACCCAGATCCAGTAGACTACAGCCCTGGCAAATCCAGGTTTCTGGATTTCTGAGTATCAATCACCACCCCTGTAGTTGGGCCTTTTTGTTTTAAATTCTAATTAATTAATTGAGGAAAACTATTTTAAATTCAAACAAAATTCAATTTGACTTTCTCAGAATGTGACTAAAATAATCGTGCACTTAGTAATCTGAAATGTACTGTATTCTTTGTGGCAATTCCTTGGTTATTGTGAGGTCTTTGGTCCACCAAAGTAAGACTAGTAACAAGTGGTAAAACTATTAGACTTAATACCTGTATCAAATATAGCCCAGTATCTGCTTAGAGAACAGTTGTCAGGAGTTATCAGTGGTGGTCGCTGGGTTGGGCACTGAGTCCTTAGTGCTCAGCCACAATTGGTTTTCATGGTTAACACCTAAATATTCATTTAGCCATGGATTTTTATATTTTATGCCAGTCAAAAGAAATTTAGTCCTAACATGATCATTTAACACCAAATTTAAGGAATGTCTTTTCTTTCAGTATCTTTAAGTGATTAGCATTTTCTTCTCTTTTGTTTTTCCTTATTTCTGCACTTTTTCCTGCATTTTCACAGCTGAGTGCTTCCATAAAATATGTGGAAGCCAAATGTCTGGGAGGGTAAGGAACTAGCACTGGCTTTTACAGCTCGATGACTTTCTTTACATGCCAGCACAACCTTTCAAGCAGATGAAACAAACACATACAAGGCTGAGGTGCATGGAGTTGGCATGTGCAGGGCTCTGAGTTCGATTCAGAGCTGAATACACACACACAAAAACACACACACACACACACACACACACACACACACACACACCAAAAAATTGGCGTAATCACATGATTGATTGCATAAGTACCCTAATAATCCTGGATAAGAGGAGAGCATGTTGATTTTCTGTAATTGTTGAGATACAGCACAAATGCAGCAGGTACACACCCAGGGCTGGTCATTTTTTTAAATACAGGCAGAAGATTAATCTTGTATAATTGCTCATTTCCTCTCATTTTTATCTGTAGTAAAGAAGAATAGGAAGAAAATGATGAAGAAGGAAGGCTTACTGAAGAATGAAATTTAGGTTTTCTCACTTCTGAGAAGACCAACAAAGTTTCATCAACACTGACGTCATCCAAAAGTTAATTATCCAGTAGCAATATTCCTCCTTATGGATTTAACATCATTCACTCAAGTTCCAAATGAAACATGTTATGTGATAAAATAAAACATAGGCATGATTTGGAGGCAGCACTGTAATTCTGTTTTACTTCTTTCATGTTCATTTGACAGGGATAACAAGCATGCAATACTTGTTTTAATTATTTTATTGCAGCTGAGTAATTTAAATAAAAAGCTTAGAACTATTTTATAAACAGGAAGATGAAGTTTAAGGCTTTAGTTAAAACTCCATGAATCTATTCAGTTACATGTGCATTTTTTCTTACCTGTTATGGATATGTTTGCCAATATTCGATAAAGTGAGAAAAATAAGATTTTAAAAAAGTGAACAGAAATATTGGTAGCTTTATTTAGATAAATACTTCTCACTCATTTCTACTTTTTACTTCTTTGGTCACCTTACTTTCAATGAAAGGCAAATCTATTTTGGTCATTTTATTGTGGTGCAAATGAAATGAAATGTCAATTCGAAAACGATTTTTGTATGTGCGGCAGCAAAGCCTTTAAAGCTATGTTCCCTCCTACATGAGTTACTACTCTCAGGGACCTATTGAATACTTAGCATATGGCTAAAACAATTTAACATATGCTGTGCGAAAACCCATGTACAATGTCTCTTTGGGTACATGCCTAGATGACAACCTATTGGTGTGAAAATTGCTCTCACACGCTGATTTTACAAAGATTTTCTTTTACCTTTTTATTGCATTTGTCCTTTTTCAATGGGACAATTTTATTATTTGAGAATTTCAAGAGACTTTTTAAAAGATTTATTTTACTTTCATTCATGTATGTGCATATCATAGTGTGTGAGTGGATACCCACACAGACCAGAAGAAGGTACCAGATGCCTTAGAGCTGGAGTTATAAGAGGCTCTGAGACATCCAATGTAGGTGCTGGGAACTGAACTCTGGTCCTCTGGAAGAACGGCAAGTGCTTTTAACTACTGAGCTAACTTGCCAGTCGCTGTAATGACTTCTTGATTAATTGTTCCCTTTATAATAATGCCTTCTTTATCTCATCTTACTAGTTTGAATGTAGATAGTATTTTGTCAGATATTGAGATAACAGTGCCTGCTTTTTTCCTAGTCCCGTTTGCTTGGAATGCTTTTTTTTTTTTTTTTGATTTTTCGAGACAGGGTTTCTCTGTGTAGCTTCGGAGCCTAACCCAGCACTCGCTCTGTAGAACAGGTTGGCCTCGAACTCACAGAGATCTGCTTGCCTCTGCCTCCCAAGTGCTGGGATTAAAGGCGTGTGCCACCAACTCCCAGCTTGGAATACTTTTCTCTATTCTTTCACTACCTGCCCTTAAAGCTGAGGTTAACTGCTGAGATTAACTGCTTGCAGCTAAGAGAAAAATGGATTTTGTTTCTTAACTCATTAAAGCAACATATTTTTGTTGTTGAATAAAATAATTTTTGGAAGGTTTATGTTGATTGCTATCTTTTTTCTGTTTGTGTTCATAGCCCTATTTGTGTTTCAGTAATTACAGCTTCATTTGTTTTCAGCATATGGCCTCTTGGCTACACTTAGTATTCTTTTCAGTCTGAAGTATTGTTTCCAGTATTCTCTGCAAGACTGGTTTGGTACATATAAATTCTTTTAGATGGTTTGTATTGTGGAAAATTCCTCTTTCTTCTTCAACCCTGGAAGATAGTTTTGCTTGGTTAAGTTAGCTGGGTTGGCATCTGCGGTCTCAACATGGCGTACATTTAGGCTTTTCTGACTTTTAAAGTTTCCACTGAGATGTCAGTGGATGTTATTGTTATATCAATTATTGGTATGGATTTTTCTTTATAAGAACAGTGATTTTTAAATTCATTATTTTTGTTTGGTTGAATATTTATGTATTCATTTTAAATGCTCTATCTGCATGTACAATTTTATGTGAGAAGAGAGTGTCAGATTCCACTATAGATGGTTGTTAGCTACTATGTGGTTGCTGGGAATTGAACTCAGGACCTCTGGATGAGCAGCCAGTGCTCTTAACTACTGAGCCATCTCTCCAGCTCCCTCATTATTTTTATTTAAAATATAGTTATATCATTTTCTGCCTCCTTTTCTCCCATTTGAACCTTCCTATGTACCCCTGATTTATTTCAAATTCACATCCTCTTTTCTTAATTTATATATGTGTATATACACACACATTTTCTCTTGCTCTCTGCATTCATTATTTGACTGTAGTTCTTTGTCTGGAGTTGGTACCCTATGAGATATACCTCTTCCATGATAACATTTCTTGATTTCAGTATCCTCTTTCATTCTGTATATTTGGTGGTATAGCTATAGAGTTTCTTTTCTAGTCCTGTCTGGTGTTCTGTGTGCTTGGTTGTCTATCTGTCAATCTCTCTCTCTCTCTCTCTCTCTCTCTCTCTCTCTCTCTCTCTCCCCCTCT